GGAATATGATGAGCACATCACACTGATATGTCAGTTAGTAAATTAGCTAAGCGTGATGGGAATAAGGGGGTGGCTGAGGTGTAGAGAGATAGATTTGAGTGTCTATGGCATAGAAATGGTATTGGAAGCAATTGGGGCTTATATTCTGACCAAGAGAGGATGTGTAGATAGAGAATAGAAGGGGCTCGATGACAGAGCCCTGGGGTACCCCTAATGAGAGGGCAGTTCTTTTGCCATGATAACAGAAGGGCTGGTTATGGTTCTTTTGCTATGGTAACAGAAGGCACAGACTCCTTCATTGCCATCAGATGTTACTTCAATAGTGCCGTCACCATGCCCTTTATTGCATTGACAATGTTGCTATTAGTGAGCCCTAATTTGCCCAATGTAGAAGATTATTGATAACACACATTAAATCTCTGGCATTTTGTGTCCTATCCTCACAATGGTGTCCATTGTATAGTATGTTGTGCCATAGCAGAAACAAACTTACAAGCACGTATTAGGTGGTACCTACTTTCCACTCCTTCCTGCCATAATCAGCACCACTATGCCAGCGATAACCCTAGTGTACAGGAAAAATAGTATGTTTCCACAGTGGGGTGTGCAAGTACCCAGAGGGAGAAAAGAAAAAGGGGCTTTTGAGAAATAATTCCAGGACCTCAAAAATAAAATCTTAGAAATACATTTATTGCAAAAATCGTTTTTTATACATTTAAAAATAAACGAAAAAAACCACAGTAGGTAAAAAACATATGTGGGTACATTCACCAGCTGGTGAAATTACCGTACAGTTCTGAGGTGTATGGTACTTATTTTTCTCTCTGTTTTTCAAAGTTGTATACATGCTCCTGTATATTCCGTGTATCCCGACATGTTTCGCCCAGGGGCTTCTTCAGGGGAAAAAAGGGAATAGAGGAAGATATATATCCTAAAGTAGGAATAGAGAAAACCACATGTAGTAAGACTGGAGAGCTGCACCCAATCTCATAGTGAGGTCATCATTTATATTCATCATTATTATTCATCAATCTCAGTCATATTAGATATTATAAGGTGTAGAGTAATATAAATTGCTTACGTGTAGATGTCCTCGCGATTGATTAATCGAAAACACGAGGGTGTGATGAGAGAAAAGCAGCTATTTCAGAATCAGATGGAGCTTGACTTAGTCAGATATAGGTCGCCACATACAGACAGATCGAGGGGCTGTGTCGGAGAGGCACACACTGGGGTCGTTGGGCAAGAGGCAGAATAGCAGACGTTGTTTTATCAAGGGCTGTGATGTTCTGCTCTTGCAGCAAAGTGTGTTGCTATCTCTCTCCCAAACACCACAGACTTTTCTCTCATCACACCCTCGTGTTTTCGATTAATCAATCGCGAGGATATCTACACGATATATATCTTCCTCTATTCCTTTTTTTCCCCTATAACCCGGGGTGCGAAACTTCCAGCACCTCTACACTTCACTTGCGATACATGTCTACTAATGTAACCCTAGTGTACAATCAGGTCCAGATCTGCTTTCGATCCCACCCCAGATCATGATCAGCTCCCTCTTTGCTGTTTCTCTCCCCAGAGCATGATCAGCTCCCTCTCTCATCTCTCTTGTTAAAAACCAGATCTGCATTTTCTCTTAATGCAGCACAATCAGCTGCTGCTTTAACCTCTACCTCCTTAATAGCAATTAGCTCCCACTCTTTTTCCACTTCCCATTTTCATCTCTGCCAATACCACTATACTTAATTCTGACACTATTATCCTAGTGGTCACCCATCAATTGCTCCAGTCCTTGATCAGTTCATGGTCTGCCTCCTCTCTCTTTCCTCTTTTGACCTGTGGTCAGCTGACCAGCTCTTACTCTTATATTCCTCCCAATATTTCATGGTCAGCTTCCACTCCCTTCATCCCCCATCCTCTGCCATGATCTGCATCTGCTTTCTTTCTGTATGCACCCCTCCTCCAACTTGATTAGTTGTTATTGTGTCACCTTACCCAGTATCTATAATCAGATACCATTCTGCCTCATTTCCTCCCCGTACCCCCACTGTCTACGTTCAGCTGCCTCACTGTCTCCTCTCCCCTCTTTCCGCACTATCCTCATAACAATTAGCTCACATTCTGTCTCAGATGGCTCACCTGATCACATATTATGTATTCAGGTAAAATATGAATTGGGCAATAATTGATATGAATAGTTTATGAATCACTTTAAGGGCAAAAAATATTTAGCCTAAATAAATACACGCACACGTATACATATGTGCTAAACACTTGAGCACACTATAACAAGGGATTGAGCTTAAACAATTAATTTGTAAAGCTAACATGACGTCAACCCTTATCATAATAGCAAAAACATTGTTTCAGAGCAACCACCATGTTCATTTTAACAAGATTAAAGGTACTCTACTAAAACTTTTTCTTAAGTGCTCTCCGAGTGGAAGGCAAATTACCTTCATGGTTCAGTGCACTGCAGTCATGTAGCTGAATGAAGCCCTTGGTCACATAGGTTTATTGGCCTTATTGTGATGGTTTACCTGTTTTTCTATGTTTCTCAGGAGCATAGTAGGGCTGCTTGGAGACAATTCTAAATCCTTGCTGGAAGACAGAGCTGTGTCCTCTGAACGTGTTTCCTTGTAGAGAATGGAATCTGAGGGTTCCTCAAACACCAGCGTTCCCTAGGATACAGATATAAAATCAGCACTAAGTCAAACACTTAACAATTTTTTTTGAAGCTATAATAGCTTCAAAAAAGAACAAAAGAACAATAAGAACAAAAATGACAATTACAACTACAATAAAAAGGTAACCTTATACAACCATTACAATATAATATCACTGGTTTTTGTTCTGTAGTTCAAAGAGACATTTGCAATTTGAGGATAGCACACAGTATTATCTAACTGCATCAATCAGGGTCTCTATAGGTCATTAAAGTGGACCTTTACACTTAAAAATCAAATTCTACCAAATGCATCCCTCTATGTATGATGATTAAAAATAATATAGACATGTCAGGTGTAAAATGCTGTGATTTTGAAATACTTGCATTTGCAGAGCATTCAATTCCTACTTTCAAAGGGCAAAATGACTTCAGTTTGCCTAAGCAATGCACACTGGGGTTGTCATCAGCAGAGCATTGCTGGGAAATCTCATCTGTAATCTCACGAGATCTCAGGGAAAGGCATTTTCTCCCCTGAAATGATGTGCATGGTCACATGTCTAGTCACATGTGCCAGAAATCCAGGAAGTAATAGGAAAGCTATTAACCTGCCCTTAGTTTACATGGCCACTGTCAGAAGACTGGGAAAGAAAAGAGAAATGAGGTATGCAAAGAATACAAAGCTAGCAGTTATCTAGAAGTATGTGTTTACAGATTGTCATTACTAAACATTTCTAAAGGTGTGTTTGTTGTTATTGTAAAGATATGGGTAAAGGTACCCTTTAAAGCAGAAGTTACTTATCATTGAGCGGGGAGGATTCCCTTCTTTCCCATTAATATCGGGGGCTGTCTGGAGTCCTAAAAATGTTTGCTCGACAACCTGTTTGCATTCACAGTTCAGGATATGCGATTCTCAATTATTATCCCACATCATTTTCAGACCAGCCTCCAAGAAATAAGAGGACCCATAAAACAGCTAAGCAAATTTTAACAGATCAAGTTTTCAATTTGTCGTAAATAATCATAAGCAGAGCTATTATTAGACTGGAGATAGCCCAGAGACACCATACTTTTGAAAACTTTGCAGGGTAACCCTGACTATCATAAGACGCCTTGTACATGTGTAGTGATGAGTTTACAAGAGATTTTTGAAAGGTACAAGTTGGCGAATCAGGTTTTTTCAGTGCAAAGCACAGGAGATCCAGTGGTGTTCTCAAGGCACGAGTTGGAGCTAATGCTTTAACCCAGCCAAGTAAACTTGTTTTTATAACAGATTGGATGTGGATTGTAGTTATTACAGTGCTACAGTTTAAGACTTCTTTCCAGAAAGTACAGATTTTGGTTTAGTTCCAAAATATATGCATAATATCTGCTGGCTCATGTGGGCATGTCTAGCATTTTAATGAGGAGGTGGGCGTGTAGTCTTTGCTGGTGTTTGGTAAAGTCAAAATAGAAACTTGTAAAGCTTGTCTCATGCTGAAACAAGGAAAGCAAAAAAAGAAAACACTTTACATAATTGTTTCCTAAGAGGCCACCTACCTTTCCAGACATTTCAAACAGAAAATAATTAACTATAACTATAGTTTCTGGAGAAGTAATTATGTAAATGAAAGCTTTGAAATTTCAGGCGTTCCTACCTCACACAATCAATGTGCACTGTATATTTGCAACATACCCATTATATGTGGAGGTGGCCTAATTAAGCACCTGTTTCAGGGTTTCTGAAATGTCTAGGGTAAGCAGCTTGTCAATATTATACTAGAAGATAGAAGAAGGGAAATCTAATGAACATGCGAAGGTCACTTGAATTGAGTCACCCACCACAGATGCCAGTTGCCTGAGACTTTCTATTTAGATGCACATAACAATCAATTCCTGTATGATGTGCCAATAACAACTTCATGTACCTTCACCCCAAGACCAGATCTTCAGGCAACCTAGCATGAAGGGGAGATTTCCGCTCAAGTCTTATTGGCCTTTACTTTAGTAGCAATTGCACAGTAATAGCAAGCAAATAGCAAGTGCTAAGTACTATTTCATCTGCGGTCTACTGAAACATTTGTGCAACTGCAGAAACATAATTAGAAGTCGGCCCGTCTACGCCTATTTAGAACACGCCAATTTGGATATTGGCAGAAAACACTGCAAGTCAAATAACAAAGTAAGAAAGTCAATTTATACACTGCTATTTTGTAGGTGAAACTATGTTAATGTGGACTAATTTTTATTTTTTTCTAGACAATAGGGTTTGTCCCTCCTCCATGCTATATTCAAATACATTTTAAGTCAGAGGGCGTTACATAAGTGCAGACATGTATTTAAATAGAGGGAGGGGGTGCAGTCGATTAACACACAGGCCAACGTTGAAGACACACTAGTACTACCTATTGTATTTTAAGGCACATCTGCACACACACACAAAATCACAAAAAAATCCTCTGTCAGATTAAAAAAAAAAATTCTGCCAGTGGCCCATAGTTCTCTCATGTGAGTACAAAGATACATGTACATACATATATTGCCAAAAGTATTGGGACACTCAGTGAATTCATATGTGGTACCGTGATAGGCTGCCACCTGTGCAATAAGTGCATCCGTGAAATTTCCCTGCTACTAAATATTCCACGGTCAACTGTTAGTGGTATTATGACAAAGTGGAAGCAACTGGGAACAACAGCAACGAAGTGGTAGGGCAAGTAAAATGACAGAGCGGTGTCAGCACATGCTGAAGTGCACAGTGCGCAGAAGTCGCCAACTGTCTGCAGAAGCAATAGCTACAGACCTCCAAACTTCGTGTGGCCTTCACACTGGCACAACAACAGTGCTGGAGAGCTTCATGGAATGGATTTCCATGGCCGAGCAGCTGCATCCAAGCCTCACATCACCAAGTGCAATGCAAAGCGTTGGATGCAGTGGTGTAAAGCATAACGCCACTGGACTCTAGAGACGTGTTCTCTGGAGTGACTAATCAAGCTTCTCTGTCTGGCAATCCGATGGACATGTCTGGGTTTGGCAGTTGCCAGGAGAACGATACTTGCCTGACTGCATTGTGCCAAGTGTAAAGTTTGGTAAAGGGGGGATTATGATGTGGGGTTGATTTTCAGGGGTTGGGCTTGGCCCGTTAGTTCCACTGAAGGGAACTCTTAAGGAACTAAGAATCTTGGAACTCATACCAAGACATTTTGGAGAATTTCATGCTCCCAACTTTGTGGAACAGTTTGGGGATGGCCCCTTCCTGTTCCAACATGACTGCGCACCAGTGCACAAAGCAAGGTCCATAAAGACATGGATGAGTGAGTTTGGGGAGGAGGAACTTGACTGGCCTGAGCAGAGTCCTGACCTCAACCCAATAGAACACTTTTGGGATGAATTAGAGCGGAGATTGCGAGCCAGATCTTCTCGTCCAACATCAGTACCTGACTTCACAAATGCGGTTCTGGAAGAATGGTCAAACATTCCCATAGACACACTCCTAAACCTTGTGGACAGCCTTCCCAGAAGAGTTGAAGCTTTTATAGCTGCAAAGGATGGGCCAACTCAATATTGAACCCTACGGACTAAGACTGGGATGATGCCAAGTTCATGTGCGTGTAAAGGTAGGCATCCCAATACTTTTGGCAATATAGTGTATGTGCACTACTCTTAAGTAAAGTTCTTGCCCACAGCAACCACCCAGGAGTCTTAGCCTAGACTAAATAAAAATCCTGTACACGGTTTCATGGTATACAGACTGATGAAAATGAATGCAAAAATAAAGTGATCGATCAAAGGAAGAAAAAAAAAAGGATTGCTTACTTTACTTCTAACCCAGTTTTTATAAATAGGGACTAAAGCACTGAATTAAATATTGGGGCCAACAGGTCCAATTTGTTTCTGTCCTCCATAAGCCAGGCTTCGTACTTCAAAAACAATTAAAAACAGCAGGAGCCAATTTTAAGTAATGCTGTAAAAAGTGCTCACATGAAATGGGACTGACATGTCCTGTGGTGTAAAAGCTTCCCCTATGGCTTTCAGAGGTCAGCAATAATAGGTTTGCTATGACATAATTATAGCTTAACACAGAAAACAAATAATACCTTTTGGCTTCGGAGCTGACTCTGAAGATGCTGTAGTTGCTGGATTTGGTACTCCAATTCTGAGATTTTAGCCTGAAGCCATGTCCAGCGGCTCCCTACATTCGCTCTCATTGAAAGCCAGTAACATTCAGCTTTACTGTGAAACAAAACCAAACAAATAAGGTAACAGGAAGAAAAATCAATGAACTGCTAATACTATTGCGCAACATTAAATTATTGCTAAAGCCAGAAAGCCCTACCAATTTACCTTAATTAGAGATCTAGATAATCCATAAACATTTACCACAGTCCATCTAATAGAGAATGCAGCTTCCTATGACTTGACACTGTACTGTGCAACCTGGGCAATTTAGGGCAACTCAGAATAGGGCGCCGACAATTTACGCAGCGCTTTACATACTGCACATTCACATCAGTCCCTGCCCTCAAGGAAATTACAATCTAAGGTCCCTATAGCCCACACATGCTAGGGCCAGTTTTGACAGGTGTCAATTAAACTTCCAGCATGTCTTTAGTAATTGGCTAGAATACTAATCTATTCAGCAGTGTGACAAGCTAAATCGGATGAATGAATGGACTGCTAATGCACTGAAAGCATTGGAGTGGAATGTTTTCCAAGCATTCCTACATGTCAAGGAATGACAAGGAAAGGAGCCATAACGATTCCTAGAAAGCAGGGCTAAAAATTTCCACTCGCCCCCTCGCAATTGGCATGTGAAAATTGCATGGAGGCGGGTGGAAAGGAAACTGCCGCCGCTTCAGCAGCGGCGATCACCTGTTCAGTTCTCCCTCCCCTCTCTTCTCCTCCTCACCTGCTCTGTAGCTGCAGCGGCCAAAGAGGAGAAGAGAAGGGAGGGAGAATCAGTTCAGCTGTCTGCCCGTCACTCCGGCTCCTCTGGCCACCCTCAGCTTCCTCTGTCCACGTTAGCTGCCATAGGCTAGGAGGAAAACTGCAGAGCTACAATTGGGGACCTGAAAGGAGGCTCAACAAGGCTGCTGGAGGCTTCACCATGGTACATCATGGAGGCAACATCGCTGCAGCCCACCACTACCAGGAGAGGAAGAGAGCACCTGAATCAGATCAACTGTGCACTCTAAAAGGTGCCCATACACCTTACAATTATCTGCAGATTTTCTGTGGTCAGATGGAAAAAGTGCAACAGATTGGCCCAGGTGGAGATTACTCCATCCACACAGTTAAGTGTAGATGGAGGAATCTGTTGCACCTTTTCCATCTGACCACAGAAAATCTGCAGATAATTGTAAGGTGTATGGCCAGCTTTAGTCCCCCATTTTTTCTGTGTTACACTGCTGACTTCTGCACACTGCGTTACATTACTGACCTCTATACTGCTGGCCTCTGTACTGTGCGTCACACCGCTGGCTTTTGTACTGTGCGTTGTTACTGATCTCTGTGTCACACCGCTGACCTGGCGGAGTTAAGGCCGGGGTAGGGTAAAGGTAAGGTGGGGCAACTGGTGTCGAGTAACTTTTAGGGCCTGGCTAGTAGCTCAGGACTTTACATTTTTAGCACTGCTTTAAAGTAGATGTATAGCAAAAACGTTGAGTAGGGAAAGATTAACTCCTTACAGTTTCTTTGTTGCCTTTGTCCCTATAGGCAGATTTCCCTTCACTACCTGTCCTGGAGCCGAAAAAGGAAGTAGGAGGAAATCTCCACAAAAGTGCAGAAAATTCCCCTCTTTAAAAATCTGTATCTGCTGAATTATTTTTTTTCTAATCCCTGGTGAAAACTAAAAAATGTTGGATTTCCGCTTACTTTTTGTGATAATGATCAACTAGACAAATATAGGGGTGAATCTCCCCAGCGGAAATATAGATTGCGCAAACCCCGCACCCCAAAAAAACCAGAGGGTATAACTACACCTTCCCCACGCTATGCAAAACAAAACAAAAAAGTTTGCCTTTACATACACTTTAACTCTTTGACCATAACTTTAACTCTTCATAAATACAGCTTTTGAACTGCTATTTACATTTTAAGGAATGCATTAAAATACCGTATATACTCGAGTATAAGCCGCCCCGAATGGGAAATGAGGCAGCTACTGGTAGATAGATACCAAAGCTTGGCGAGGTAAGTAAGAAAAAACCTGACGCTGACTCGAGTATAAGCCGAGGGGGGCACTTTTTAGCAAAAAAATGGGCTGAAAATCTCGGCTTATACTCGAGTCTATACGGAGATAGATGTGCATGCAAATGATTGAAAAGATTGAATGCTGCCCATCACTTTGTCACCTTCCTGAATTCCCAGTGTGCTTTGCGTCTCTTTCCCTGACGCTTAATGTGATGCAATCTCAATTTTTTTTTAAGACTACATGTCCTATCCAGCAATGTTTCCAGCAAGCAATGATGATGTTACATCATGGGAAGTTCAGACATTGAACTGTAGTTCATACACCAGGCCTAGCTACAGTGGTGACACAAGGAAGTTCATATTCACAGGGCTGAGTGGAATTGTGCCTGTGTATTGAGGAAGTACATCCTGTGGGCATCTTCAATAAGTAAGTTTACAAACTTCTACATCAATATGGTTATTAGGAGTGGGATAGAACTTATAGAAATTGAATGCAGAAAAAGCATGCATTTATACTCTGCCTGGCCAAAAAAAGGTCACACACTCTCATATTTCATTAGACTACCTTTAGCTTTCACTATGGCACGCATTCACCCTGACATCGTTTTGATAAGCTTATGCAAAGTCACAACATTTATTACCATCCAGAGTTGCATTCATTTTTAACAAGGAGCTTGTAGTGACGATGGGAGAGTTGTGTGAAAATAATGTCTCATGCTCCCCGAACCACTCTTTTACAATATGAGCAGGATCAATCCTGGAATTGTAATCATTTGCAAAAAACCTGGTCATTCAGTATATTCTGGTAGCCTGCTGACCTCATTTCTTGGGTACATAATGTCAGTGGCGTCACAAGGGGGGTGCGGCCCGCACCTGGGTGACACCATTGGAGGGGTGACAATAATCTTGCTAATCCTAGGCGAATTATGCAATGGAACGCTCTTACCTCTTTGCTTAGCTAAATTCAGGTGGTGACTTTTTTTGGCCGGGCTGTGTATTTATAAACACAAACATAATGCAAGCAACATTTTCTATGCAATTGACTTGCTTTTTGTCAGCAAGAATAATCTAAAAAAGCACAAGCATTATTACACAGTTAAAAAGACCATAATACATGCTGAGATTGCCTAGTGGTGTAGCAAGGTAGAACATTACATGCTTGTATAACTTGATTAGAGCATTTACCATCTGTTACCATGACTAAAGTTCGGCTAAGATGCTGCCTACAGCATCATTCCAGACCTCAATCGGCTAAAATGCTTCTCTTCAGCATGCCAATAGATCCAATGTTCATGGACAAAAAAAAAAGAAAAAAGTCAACACTTGTCAATGTTTAAGTAAGAAGTCATCAATGTGAAATCGCCCTAATATGCTAATACTGTGTTGACTTCATAGAGTACTGAGAAATTGTTGTATCAAGGTTTACAAATAAGCCCTTTTCTTATTTTTTTAACAACCTCTGTAAATGCAATGCTTCATTGACCCGTTTGTCTGGAACTCTCAGGTCAGCAATGACGTTTATTTCCATTGCATTCTATGTGTAATAAAACACCAGAAATACAATGCTACCTCCTCAAAATTATACATCAAGAGCAGCTGACTCCAAAACAACAGTAAAAAAGAAGCAATATAGTGTTACAACGTGCATAAATAATAATAATAATGACTATAAAAGTCCAAAGACCAAACGCATAGGGCAGTTGTAAATGACTTTATCACGTTTTGCCAGGTCTGCAGTTTGTTCCTGTCTGGCGGTGCTGCTCTGTTTTCTGCACACCGTGGATTATTTCTAATGTGCTGTTAATAGTGCCATTTTGCACAATGCAAATTTGTTTAATAGTTAATTGTTTACTGGTGGTATTTCACTCTTGCAAACCTATTTGCTCCTTGTTGGTATAATCAATGGATGTGTGTGACTGAAGAGAGGGACATATGATTTTCCACAACTTTATTAATAGTTTAGTGCCTCATTCTGGATCTCCATTTGGATACCTCAGGGTGAAAAACATATGGTGGGCTGCTTTTCAAAGTAGGATGGCGTGTTTTTGCACTGGTTCGGCAATGGATCAAAGTGTCTGCATTTGTTGACATATATGGACTCCACTTCCACATTTTCTTGAACGAGTACAGCGGCTGCATCTAAAAGTGACATCTGGGATTCCTGCTGCAGGAATCCAAAATCACCCAGTGTGAATGAGGCCTAACAAACCCACTGGTCAAGAAGATAAGTTCACCCAAAACTTTTAGTTCACTGGAATTTTTCCATACATTACATTTAAACATTCATTATTTATTGCATGCAATAAAATATGTGTAATCCCCTTGAACACAGCGGGTTTGGCAGTGCCTGCAAGCACAGAGGAATCAGCGCTGGATCAGAGAGCGGCCGCACGGCTGGAGAGACAGATGAAAACACCAGGAAAGAAGAAGATCGGATTAAGAGACATCATTTATGGTAAGTGCTGACATTAACATTGGGGGGAGGGAAACATTTTTTTGCCTTTAATGTCACTTTAAGATATACAAGTAGTGGTGAGGCTAACCACCAGAGCAGAAATATTAGAATTAGTTATCTGACCCTTTTAGGCTGAAATACAAGCGATCAGCCAAATGCACACTCGATGTATACATAGGTGAATTTATCATTTGTATTTCTGTCTGGGCACTTTTGTGATTAATTCACCTCTAGCAGACAGCTGGAAGGGTGGCACCACTTTCCCTGCTAGAGTAAAAGCCTAACACAGGCATAAATAAAAGTAATTGCAATGTCTCCAACTCCAGCTGATTAAAAATATAGTGCTCTTTTTACCGGGGGGATGATCTAATACCGAGGAACACCAACCTTAATCCATACTTCCAATGTCTTCCTCCTTGATGGTTCTGGTTCAGATGACTGGCCTGCTGAAACCACTGTTCTTATTGAACTCAAACCGTTCTCACTGCCCCTCATGATGTAGCATCATTTACAATGCTGGACCAGCTTGCACTGCTAGTCCTGCATTGTACATGATGATGTAAAAGTGCCTACCCACATTTTGACA